TTCGGCTAACCTTCCGGGAATTTGTTCTCGGAGCAACTGGTCCGACCAGCCCTGGGCTTTCAAGGCAGCTAGCCAGGTGCGAGGATCGGTGTCATCTTCAGAAAAAATGGGAACTTCGGAGGGAGGAGGTACAAAGTACAGTGGATGATTGGCCATCCCCGCGTGGTTGTCGCCGTCGTTTTCACCCCCGATTCCGGGTTCCACCATCGCGGGAGGCGGGTTTCGAGCCCGGCCTCTCACTCGAATCTGATTGCTATTCGCGGGCCTCCGTCGGCAGGGAGCCAGCCTACTCAAAAATGCGAAAATTCTAGTGAAAACATCAAAAAGAAAAAGGAGAAACTTTAAAACAAGGTAATCGTCCTAGGAAAACCTCGGAGCCGAAACGAATCAGCTCTGAAACCAACCTCACGCCCCCTCGCGGCTTCCCGTACGGGGTTGCCGATCAGAGTTCTAGGAGGGGCGTGGCCGAGGATTTTTGGCCGTAAGGGTTGAGTCTCCCGGACGGAACGGGAGGCTCTCGTTTCTTGGCCGAGGTTTTTCTCGGAGTCGAACTGTCGTCCCGAAGTCCCGCGGGGGTCGGACTACTCCGAAACGATAAAATCAGAAGGGTTTCTGTGAGAATGACTTGTCGTCGTGCATCGGGATGGGAATAGGCATCAAGGGGAGGAGGCCATGGCGGCAGACGGCAAAAACTCCGACCGTCATGGGTTCCGGGGATGGGTGGTGGGTTCGAAGTCTTCAGGCCTCGTCATCGGCCTCACAAAGTGGCCGAACCCTCGGGTCTTTTGCTGTAGAGGTGGGTGGTTCGAGGCCTTCAAGCCTCGGCGTCAGACTCATAGAGCCCGCGCGAAAGTTTCCGGGAGGGTAAAGCGGCGGGAGGACTCGCCGACATCTGAATTTGAAATTGCGCGGGCAGCGCCCCCGCACTACGGGAAAGCTCGGGGAAACGTGTCGCTCCCTCGTAACCCAGGACCAGCCGTCGCCACGAACACGAGTCCCTCTGGCGACACCAGCGACAATCAAACTGCGGTCACCACGAGGCGTGAGCGGCCGACCAGTGCAACACCATTAAACCCGTATAAGGCAATATTAGAGTCGGGGAATCAAAGCGATCAATCAACACAAACCCGTTCCCCCTTATCTCGCAAGCCCGAGGCGGGTCTTGCCAACACACTTGCTCCATCCGCCTCAGCGCGCGCCATACGTCCGCATCGCAGTAGACACTGTCGTCATCTGTGATGGGGAAGGTCGGTAGCGAAATGAGAAGAGCGGAGGTACGTGATGAACACGGGCAAGATCCCGCGCTCCCGGTCATCCGAACCAACACCGAATCCATACAACAATTGTCGCAACGCTTCTCTCTCAAAAATGGGTGCGTAGGGGGAGGATGACGAAATCTAAGCTTTCTCCCCTTGGCGGGGGCGTCGACCGTCCGCGCGGACGCAGGCAGTTGACGTCACCGGTACGGGGACGAGAGGCTCTAAAGGCGATGACCGTTAGTTCAAAAGGAAGGCGATCGAAAAGGGAGAGAGAGAGAGAGAGAGAGTTACTCCAAGACGCGCGAGAGCGCAGGAAAGGCCGCGGAGGGGAGGGGAACAACCGGATCAACACACTCATACTCTTAAGCAGACGGTCCCCCAGTTCAGTTTTCCCATCCCCGCCCAGACGAGTACATACACACATACATGCATGCAATCAACAACCCTTGACAGGACATCTAATCATCCATGGACCTTCGACGTCACTCATGCGCATAACCAGCTMCCATCACTCGGGGCTTCACACACACGACATGCATAGACAAAGCAGCAATGGAGATAAAAGCGAGTCCTTCTTGTACACAAAAAYTTCAATTAACTGYTGCCCCCAGGCGCAGCCTTCAAAACTTCCCAAGACCACCGACCAYCATAGCCACAAGGCCCTGCCRYGGCYGGCGTCCAATCCCCAYCACTGCTCAGTCCCTCCGACTGCTTCRCCCCGAGACTACCGCGGGGTCCACCYKACGTYGTCACTCCGCCCGTCCTTGGGCTCGTCGAGCCTGTTCGGCGCCRCRGACTCTCGCGCATAGGTCGCGCARCATTGCAGCCGAGATCAAAGAGGAGGAGAGGAGAGGGTTGCGCAAATTTATAGCGCGGGAGGCGGCGGGTTAACAGCGCGAGGTGCGGGCAGCGCAGGGTGTAGATGAGCAGGACAGGAGAGAGAGAGGTGGGGAGTTAGAGGGTTCGATCCGCGGGATTTCATGGCTACGTGATTGGGGTGTTCGTCCAAGTTGTGCGCGGTTTCCCGCTTTCCACATTGATCCGAGCATCCCAACTATGCAGCCAATCACTTCGCGGAGGAAGACAGGGTAAGGATCAAGCTGGGCGTAGGGGAAGACGAAGAGTCCTGCATGGGGAAAACGCGCGCAGCAAGAAGGGAAGATGGCGCGAGGATGCAAAGCAAGAATCGGGGATGCGAGACGCGCGAAGAAATCGGAGCTTGGGCGCGCTCGAAAAATTCAAAAAGTCCCAACCGCACCCGTTTCTTGGTTTTCATACCGCGGCCGCTATTCGCCCGCAGGAGTTATTAACCAAACAAAATGAAAAAGCCATTTCAAAAAGAAAACAAAAGCAAAAAGAAAGAAAAACCCCTTTCTATCCGCGCCCATATTTTGGGGCTTCCGCGGGATTTTTCCCCCGGGATACGGCAAGCCGCGCGGTACGGATCTGAGCTTATCACACGCTGGACCCGTTTTCGGGTTTAGCAAATGGGCATGAAGAGCTCAAGGGCAGCTCAAGTGCGGCCCAGGCAAACCTACCCGTTTTTCAAGTCACCTCTCTGGGCACACTTGAGCTGCAGTTGAAAATGGGGCTGCAGGTGTGTGTGGAACCCCCTGGTAGTTTTTTTATTGGCCCAAAGTGCGATTGCGAACTGTATATTGGCTCATAGTGCAATTATAAGTCTTTTTTGTGAGTCCCGTGTAGTTACCCCTTTTTTCCTGTTTATTCTCCTTTTTCTACTGCGTTTGTTCTGGTTGAACCTTGCGCGATCTGTTGCAGCACCATCCCTGCTCATCTCGAGGGTGGACTCTAGGGTTGAGTGGAAAGAAACGTGACTCAGGTATGTTTTAATCACGATTGAAACACAAGTGCACACTCGAGTTTCAGGTGGGGTGGCCTCGTTCCACACCACTCTAAACTCGAGTATTTGCTGCCCAACACCTTTCCACTGTGCACTTGATTTTGGCTCAACAAGTTCCGGTCGTGATTAGGGTTCTGAGATTAGCAAATGGGTGTGAAAAAGTCAGGTGCCGCCCACGGGGATTTTTCAAGTCACCTCCCTGGCCACACTTGTGGTACTTTCGCTCCCCCCGTTTTTTTGTGTTTTTCCTTTTTTTTTGGCTGGAGGGCGGCTCAAGTGCAAACGGCGAGTCGAAGGGTTATGTGGAACCGTGACAACTTAGAGTATGTGCAGTGGAGGGCGGCTCAAGTGCGGCACTTGAAACTCAAGTGAAGTGAAGTGGTGTGGAACGAGGACCATAGAGGACACCGTTTTGCATGACGATGGCCGGGTTTTATTCTGTTCATCAGATTCCCCTGGACTTGAACCTCGGTACCTGTTTTAGCAGTTGACGTCATCGTTAAATCGATCATCAAATGCAGCGGCGGAAAAAAAAAAAAAAAAAAAAAAAGGAGCGAAGCGGATTGACGGGACGCCCTCAGGGACATCCGTGAAAATTGGAGCGATATACAGAGAACCTAGACATGATCATCGTATCATCATGGCCCCTGGGCGAGGATGACACGCATAAATCGAGAAATTGCCGGGACGGACAGGGAAACCTAGCGTTGTACAGCGGCGTGCCGTTTTCGCGTACCACGTGTTTAGCACCAGCGAATGGGTTGACGTCATTGCGAAATGACAGCTTCCATGCAGCGACCCAGGCGAGAAAGGGAGAGAGCGCTGCGTTTTTGTGTACTACGTGTTTAGCAGCGAATGTGTTCACGTCCACGACCATGCAGAATCGTATCTTGCATGCAGCGAGCGAGGGAGCGAGCGATAGGGAGGGTGAGCAAGCGAGAAAGCGACCGACTGAGCAGCGAATGAGCGAGCGATTGAGCGTACCCTGAACTGTTGAAAGGCAGATCTGATTTCGACTCCACTCGGGAAAAAAAAAAGAAAAAAGAAAAAAAAGAAAGGGAGAAAGAGAGCAAACGCTCCGCTCTGTGTCTTACGTGTTTCGCAGCAGCCATGTTGAAGTTTGCGGTCCATGCAAAATCATAATGGCTTTCATGCAGCGAGCCAACGAGAGTGGGAGAAAGAGAGAGCGCTGCGTTCGTTGAGTACGTGTGTAGCAGCAAATTTGTTGATGACGTCAATGCAAAATGCATGTCTTTCATGCAGGCAGCCCGCCAGTGGCCGAGAAAGGGAGAGAGCGCTCCGCTTTTGCGTACGTCTTCTGAATTAACAGCGAATGTGTGGACGTCATTGCAAAATCATATCTTCAATGCAACGAGCCAGCGAACGAGAAAGGGAAGGGGGAGCGTTTCCTTATTTACTGCGGTTCTCCCTCCCATCCACGTGGCATCAGGACGGCGGCGGCGGCATATGATGGCCAGGGTTTGCTAAAGATATTAACTACAGCAACATCGAAGAGAGATGAACCGTTTCAATAACGGTTGACGTTATCTAAAGATCGTCTTAGCACGACTCCCTCCCCCCCCCCCTCTCAGCAAGTGTTTAACGTCCACGTGGCGAGTACAGACAACGCTTATCCCCGGACTGCATGCACTGAGGCCGCAGAGGACAAGATCAGCCTGTCACGTGGCGAGAGCCGAGAGCGATTATCCCGCGGGAGTTGCAACTTGCCAGAGGATCAACAGAGGATGAAATCAGACTGCCACGTGTCTCCACGTGCTGATTGAAGATAAGAACAAGTTGAAATTCGAAATTTAAAACTGATGTTTAACGGATTCACCCTTACGGTTTCCGTTATGGTTTCCGCTATGGTTTCGGTTATGTTTTCCGTTATGATTTCTGTTATGATTATGCAGGAGAGGGAGGGGGAGGTATGTTTTCCAGCTCGACGAGTCAGAAACGAGCGGTAAGGATTGCAGCAGCTCTGCACCTCCAAAGGAGGTAGAAGATAACGGTGACCGTTTGGAGGTACAACGCAACGGGACGGGAGAGGCCTGAAGTTGGGATCTCAAGGGTTGACGTCAACGCAAAGCACTGCAAGTCGGGAGGGGTCAAAATGAGCGATAAATAGTTTGAATGCTAATCAATTGCAATCTATGTTACCTTTCATTTTTTGCAGGCGGAGGCCAGGGGGGCCGAGGAGGGAGGAGGAAGAGGAAGAAGAGAAGGAAGAGGAAGACGTGAAAGAGCTGGAGGGAGAGGAAGGGGAGGGAGTGAGGACAAGCACGACGGGTATCGCAGCAATATCAGCAATAGTAGCAGCAGCACCAGCAGCAACATTAGCAGTAGTATACTGGTAAGTGGAGGAGGAGGACGACGAGAAGCAGGAGGAGGAGGAGGAGGAGGGG